GGCACAGCGGTATGTCTGCGGACTTACACTGCTAGAAACCGGGCCTCGATACTTGTAGTGGGCAGAGCACAGATAGCCCATTGTGTAGCTTTGTGCTTGACTACAAACAACAACACACTGTGAAACTCTATGTAAATTGATTATAAATAAGAAGATTAACATGATTTACTTTCTATCATATTCACTCACATCGATTTTATAGAGGTCAAAAATGTGGTCAGTGTCAGTTACTCCTCGCAATAAAAATCTAGTGGTTAGCGTATCAGACTAAGGTTCGGACTTGTTGCCCGTGGACACGCCCTGGACTTCTATCCGTGGACGCGTTACAAGAGTAACAGTCGATCCTGTTATTCGGTTCCAAGAATTGAACAAAGCCCTGGTGACGGCGGATGCTGCTGGCTGGCTATCATCCATCTCATGAATAGTTAGAGACAGCTATATAAGAACCTTGGGAGTCTCTCTCTGTCCTACCGTTTAGTCTACGCTTGGTGGTATTGAGGTTGAAAATTTCCTGTTGTCTCAAACATGACACTCAACACAATAGCTATATACTATATAATAAAGGTTTTATTTTTGATTTATCATCCACAGTTTTGCATGTTGGAATTTAAAGAGAAAAACCCGTTTAAACAAACATTTTTATATCATTCATCTTGCGTTGTCTTCTTCTATGATTAGAAATCTATAAGCAGAAACCGTTTATAAAATAAATAGTAAACTAAATTTTTCACATCGTCAAATAGTAATTTCTTATATATCTTCAAATCTCTTGCCCCTAGGTGGCTCAGCAGTAAGTATGAGGGCTTATGACCCCCCCAAAAAAAGAGAGTTTCGATACCTGCAGTGGGCAAAGCACAGATAGCCCATCAATTGTATAGGTCTGCGCTTAACAACAACCAAACAAGCTTCAAATATCTCTTTCGCTTTAATCATATTTTGAATTACAGTTTTGAGAAAGTTATTGGAGGTTGACATGGAATAAAAACAGTTTGTAACTCGGTATGGCAAATTATTAATTAAGAAAATAAATCCTATTGATCCAAAATCCAAAATGAAAACGCGAAACTCTGACTTGAAGTTAATCTGAGTTTAGTTTTAAAAGTAAACCGATATAAAATTGCTACAGGAAGTCATCTTAAGAATTTCATGAACAAAGCTAAAGTAGTTTTTGAGAAAAAACAAATATTATCCCATCTAACATAAGGTACATAGTCTTGGATGATTTATTGATGTGTACTTTAGAAGTAATAATATATAATACAGAAAAAATGATAATACCAGTTCCATCTCTGATTCTGATAGGCTCTTTTATAAGTTACAATTCTTGATAAACGTAAATTTTTTATGAAACTTTCCACGTAAGTAAGAAACTCTGGAGATATATTCGATGATCATTTTTTTATTAGTGTACGTGAACGCGGAACTTAGGTTATATATATATATATATATATATATCAAAATGTAAACGCTGGAAGTATCCCGGTGGTTCAGTGATAACTTTGAGAGCTTATAACGCTAAAACTTTGGTTTCGATACCAGCGGGGGCAGAACACAGATAGCTCATTGGGTAGCTTTGTGATTAACGATAAACACTAGGAAGTTCATTGAATACGTAAGACTAGCGAGTGAAATTTTGAGTTTTATGCACTGTTATTCCTCGTAACAGTGAATAAATTAAGCTTAAACTAACAGAAAATATTTCATTTTCATGAAAACAATATTTAAGCATTTTTTATTCTAATAAGAATTACGATGATTTGTAACAAGAGATTGAACACAAACTTTTTGAGCGTATTTATTTTCATTTTATACGTGTTGCTAATATACTCAAAGTGTGATGTACAGAAAGCGGGCCTAGTGGTTAGCTTGCTGTGCAGTGAACCCGAAAGTCCGTGGTTCGTGTACCGTTACTGCAAAATTGCCTCCCGCAATGGCCATGGGTGCGATAAGAGTGGCAGTCAAATCCCACTGTTTGATTGGTGAACATCACAGTAGGTGCTGTTGACTAACTAGCTTCGCTCTAACAAGTTAAAATTTAAGAACAGTTAGCGTAGATACTCATTGTGTAGTTTTGTCCGAAACAAATAAAACAAACGAAAAGTACACAGAAAGGTTCTAGTGATAGAGAAAATGGTTAATAATGAAAGTATCCACGAAAGCCATGATGTGCAAATGTGTGAGCTTAAAAATATAGATAGTGAAATAATATACTTCCTTTAAGCATAGCATATGCAAAGAGTTCATGTCGCAACGAGCCAATCATACACAGGAAAGATAAAAAAAAAAAGAGGTCCACCGGGAGTGGATTCGAATTGCGTAAATACGAGAGAGTTATTGGCGTGCACATTACATTTGTACAAATTTGTCATTAAACTTTGTTAGTTTACTATACACAGCCAATATGTTATAGACATATTGAAATATATATTTTTAACTTGTAAATACGATAAGAAGATATGCCCTTAGAAAAAAGAAATGTATATAAGCGATGTGTTATTTATGGGTAATGCGTAGAACAGATATATTCCTGTATGTTTCAATACAAGCCCACTAATAATATATTGTGTAAAAAAAGTTAAATTTTATATTCTTCAGAAGGAACCGCCCCCCGCCAGTGGCACAGCGGTATGTCTGCGGACTTACAACGCTAAAAACCGGGTTTCGATACCCGTGGTGGGCAGAGCACAGATAGCCCATTGTGTAGCTTTGTGCATAACTTCAAACAATCCAAAGGAACCAGATAATTTTTTTCTCAAACGATTAGTTAAAGATGTGTAAATAATTGCTTTTGAAAACAGCTTATCCTTTCGGATTTTAATCTTAAATTTACGCAATATGCCCATAAACAGAGGTTAAGTACGTTATATTAAAACGATTTTGGAACCTCACCACGACGTTACAGTTCATGTCGCAACGTTTTGTCATGCTCTATTTGATCACCACGCTCCGTTGCGCAGTTTCTATTGCCAGAGGTTTCGTTGTAAGGCAAGTCATACATATCATTCTATGCTCGATTGCCATAATTTGTTTAGTGCACGTGGACGGCAGTTTTTCAGCGTCCGTTTCAACAATCCGATGGGAAATCCATAGGTCTGACGTCTTGACCGGTATGCCTTTGAATGCAGTAAATGGAATATCCGTTGCATTCTCCAGCTGGTTAACGTATTCTACGGTTGAACAGGACGTATGACTGGAAACCTTATCTTGGTGAACCCATACCCTATTGGTCTAGTTTCCAGATGGGAATTATTCTTGATTATGTTGCCATACTGTTGCCTGTGGATAGCTTTTACCACTGGCCGTTGTGTTCGTCGATTATCATCTGTAACGTTGTTTGCAATTTAGTTAAATCCGTAGCCTTAACGCTGTCCTTTAGGGCAACCATCTGTTACAAGACGCCACACTCTGCCTACCACAGCTGGGTTACGACTTGTTGCAGGTCTTTTTCTGGATGGTCCTGGTGGCCAAAGTTTAACCATATTATTTTGTTTTCTAATGTTATTAATTACAAGAGATAATTCAGTTTTAGAAATTCTAAGTCCCCAGTTTGAACGCATCTTTGTGATATGAGCATGAGTATTTTACATTGGAAAGGGCTGGTACTGTGGTAGCAGTGGTACATACCTTTCCCAAAAGTGATCAATTTTAATGGCATCACACTATCTACGTAATGAAACAGTGTCAAAATATAGTTCCTAAACATTTCTTTCCTGTGTTTGTCGCATGGATTGCTTATTTGCGTATTCTATAATTTTCGCGCAAAGCTACTCAAAGGCTATCTGTGCATAACTGTCCCTAATTTTGAAATGATACACTATAGAGAATTCAACTAGCCAACAGCACACATCGCCAACTGATTTAATGTTCTAGCCTGATTTGAATAGTGGGGTTTGACCGACATACTTTATGACACACCCACTACTTCAAAGTGCGGGGCGCGTTTTGTAGTAACGGGCCGCGAACTTTGAATTTTGTTGCTTATGATTTTTTTTTCGTCATTTCAAGAGCTAACATATTGAAATATCTCAAATATCAAGTAAGCTTTTCTGTGTCCAGAAATTGTCCACCTGTATGTTGATTTAAACTCCATTCTGTGATGTTGCAAAGATGGAATTTAAATCAACATACAGTATTTTGAAAATTTATAATTTGATCTGTCAAAGTCTAAGTCGTATTTAGAAGTGTTTATTATCTCTCACTGCACTATATATATATATATTGTTATTAAATCACATTTAATTATATATCTATATATATATATATACGTATATGTAATTCGAGAGTAAAGTGAACATTACGCCTGCTTTTCATTCAGTTCATTTTAGTATTTCAACAAGAGAAAACAAGAGGGCGTTTGGCAAACGTACTAGTCTTTTATTCCTATGTCATTGATAAATATGTCGCTCACTTTGTTTGGACGCTTAATATTTGTTGAAAAACTGTTCTTTTAAATGTATTAGGCATGTAAAAAAAAATAGCAGACATGATTAGTATTTTCTAGTTTTCGGTTTGTTAGAAGTGTTTTTGCCAATAACACCCCAAAAACTAATGTTATTCTCGAAATTTTCATCTAGGACAAACCTTGTTTCTTACACCCTAATATAAATAACAATATTCTTATCACAAATTAGAGGAGCACAAAATTATAATTATCACACGTGACAAAACCATCTGCAGGCACCTAACATTTCCTATTTCTTAACATTTCATTTTCGAACGCAGAATATTTCAATGAAAAAATGCCTCTATTGGCGATATTTATATATATAGTTTAATAGTAATAGTGAGTTTGAAAAATTTTACTTTTTGTGTTGTATGTTAAATATATTTCCAAAAGTATGGATTAATGGCCTTTTTAGATTCAAATTCTTAAACATTTTCTTGATCTTGTAAGTCTTTCAGAGTTTGAACTCTATTCTAACATACGTATATAAAATAATAAATATAAAAATACAAAAATAAATAACTATATTTTTACTATTTATAACTATTTTTATTAGGAACTTCACAAACTGTCGTCACAACTAAGAAGGTTGTACGGCTCCAACAGACACAGCCAGCGCCCTCTGCATGTATTCTTTGCGAATTTTTCACAGGAAAGCAGTCTGTACAGAATTTGCTGTGAAAAGAATCAAGGATTCGCAAACTACGTGGTAAGTTTTAATGGGTGTATGTATTGCATCTAACAGTGTTATTTCTTTCTCTTGGATATAAAGCATTGTCAGAATATTTGTGGGAATACACAACTATGATGACATTTTGGAAATATTTCTTTACTCAGGATATTCTACCCACAGAGACACGTGTGTGGAAATATAATGAACCCTAGAGTATTTTTTAAGATATAAATACCATTCGTTACTGATAGATTTGTAGAAATTTAGTGTAACTGTTCAGTTTTCTCTCAAAATTTGCATTTAATTTAGCTGACTGCTATAATCATTTATTTATTAGCATACTGTTGGAAATCCCCAAAAGTTATATTTATAACAACGTGTAAACATTCTCC